AAAAAAAAAAAAAAAAACTGGAAGCATCACATTATCCAACTTCAAACTATACTACAGGGCTACAACAATGAAAACAGCATGGTTCTGATACAAAACTACCAAAGTCATTTATCACAGAATTAGAAAAAGCTATTCTAAAATTGATATAAAAAAAAAAAAAAAAAAAAGCCCAAATCACCTCAAAGTGAACAAGCACCCCTTTTTCATACCACCAAAGCCCAACCTTTTTTTTCCCCAAGTGGAATAAACTTAACAACATAAAGGAAAGCAACACTTCTTTCTAGTGTCCTTTTTAGGTCTGCTTAGCCTCAGAAACACCTTTGTACAGCCTGCAAGAACATTCTGAAAGTAGAATGGAATTCTGAGGAAGAGGCTGTGACTGACAGCATTACCTTTCCTGTTAGAAACCATTCAGGATTGTTCTAGAGCCAAAGGACAAGAATTCTGGGGATTCTTCCTCCCACACCATCCCCACCTCTGTGTATTCCTTCTGAATACACAATGATCACATTAGAAGAATTAATATTTAGTAAGAATGATTTTTGTGCCTTGTACTGAGCTGAACATTATAAAAAGCAATATCCTATTTAATGCTCTTTGTGCTGCTTCCAAGAAAGAATGCAATGCTGGAAAGAAAAGACCTAGACATCCCTCTGGTTAGCTTTCCTGGACTCAGAAAGGGTTTATGTGTCTAGCTATTTCAAGTGCTAGACAGCTGTGTGCTCTAACATCAGGGCTGAGCACAGCTCAAACTACAGAGACTGCATCTAAACAGCTTGTTCATTTACAGTTCTCAAAAGTGGTGAGGTAAGAACAAGTCTATGGCAGAGACCAGTAAGAATTCCAAGCAGGACCTGGTGGGAAGTCCATTCACTTATTCATTCATTCATTTGTGACATACATGCTGAGTGCCTGTTATGTGCCAAGCACTCTTCTAGGCCTAGGGATACAGCAACGAACAAAGCCATTCTTGATCCTTATGGAACTGTTCACATCCTAGGGGTGTTCACCAGAGTAAACTAAAAAATTATAATGTGATACAAGATACAATAAGACACAAATAAAACTGTAAGGGGAGAGTGGCGAGGATCCTTTTTTAGATGGGGCAAACCTCTGCGGTGGTGATGTTCGAGCATCTCCTGTTGGGGATGACACAAAGGAGAATACCATGCGGCTATGTAGCAGAAGCACTCGGCAGAGGCCACAGCAAGTGCAAAGGCCCTGAGGCAGGATGGCAGTTGGCCACTGAGTAGGAGTAGAATCAGCCAAGTTGTGACTGGCAGGAAGGGAAATCAGAGAGGCTGCCAGAGTCCGTGATGCAGAGCTTTACAGGTCAGCAGCAATCGTTCCAGACATTGAGCCCCTAGTAGACTTGGGCTCTTAACACATTTTATTTTTCATAAAACCCCCTTTAAGTAGGTCATATAACTTCTTTTTAACAGTACCTGAAGCCACTCCTACTGAATGATAGAGATTTCCTGGGGTTCCAGAGCATCTGAGTTCATCAAGGGTGATGGTCTCTCCCAGCTGGCTGTTAACCAGCACTCTCTTTTTCTCTCTCTTTCCATCAACTGGGACATATTCCTAGAGCAGATAAATCTATTTTTAAGTGCAATGAGATATTTATTGACTGGCTTCATTGTCTCAAAATACTGGCCTCAGCCTTTCCTTATGTCTGGGCAAATTCTGACACCAAATGGTTGTTTTCTGCAGCTAGGCCTTAACATACATCCTACAATGACTTTCTTACAAAAAGTGATAAAATCAGCTTAAAGCACAGCTGTACTAACAGAAAAAAAAAAAAAAAAGAATAGTAATTTAGCAATAGATCAATAGCCCATCATCTCTGGATTTCATTTTATAGAAGAGGGCTGTCTTTCTTTCCTCAGTCTGTGACATGGAGTTAATTTGTGTGAAAACATGCAGGTATTAGACTAGTTGTTAGAGAGCTCTGGGATTGTTTCCCAAATGAAATAACATCATAAATAATTCTAAAAATACAATAAAAATAGATTAACAGACTGAAAAATGCAGTGAAAACTCTTAGGGTCCATATTAAAAGGGAAAACATAATATAAATTGAACTTAATTCCCTACATTTTTATTCTCTGTAGTCAAAAGTGATATGAAGATGCCCTCATTTTAGCTATAGATGGTCCTATGAATAGGACATGGTAAAATAGGTTTAAGATGAGAGTGATTCAATCTATCCAAAAGAACCAAGGGGTTTGCTTTTGGAGGGCATGCCCGGACTTCCTACTGAGCCTTGTCCTGCACAGAAAGTAATAGAAATTCATTTTCTAAATCTGATGTTGGCTACCACTGCAGATTCCCATTAGAAAGTTACTGCTTGGTTAATCCAATCGTAATTTATTTTATTGCCAACGATTATAATCTAGAGCTAATCTGATTAGTGCTAATATCCTGAGATCAGTAGGACAGTTTTCTGTTCCTTACTAGTTGTATTTGTTTTGTTTTTATTTTTGTTTAAGGTGGAGTCTCGCTCTGTCACCCAGGCTAGAGTGCAGTGGCATGATCTCGGCTCACTGCAACCTCCGCCTCCTGGGTTCAAGCAATTCTCCTGCCTCAGCCTCCTGAATAGCTGAGACTACAGGCGCCCGCCACCATGCCTGGCTAATTTTTTGTATTTTTAGTAGAGATGGGGTTTCAATGTGTTAGCCAGGATGATCTCAATCTCCTGACCTTGTGATTTGCCCGCCTCGGCCTCCCAAAGTGCTAGGATTACAGGCGTGAGCCACCACGCCTGGCCAATTGCATTAGTTTTTAGGGCCATCATAACAACGTACCACAGACTTAGTGGCTTAAACAACAGAAGTGTATTGGCTCACAGTTCTGGAGGCTAGCAGTCAGAGGTGCGTTCTGAGGGCTGTGAGGGAGAATTTGTACCGTGCCTCTGTCCTGGCTTCTGATGATTTGCTGGTAATCTTTGGCATTCCTTGGCTTGTAGATGCACCACTCAGATCTATGCCTTCATGTTCACATGGCGTTTTCTCTGTGTACATGTCTGTTTATGTCCACATTTTCCCTTTATATAAGAACACATCCATATAGGGTTTGGGCCCATCCTAGTGAACTCATCTTAACTTGATCATCATCTGCAAAGACCCTATTCCCATATGAGGTCACATTCACTAGCACTGGGGAGTAGGCCTTCACCTTCTTCTTGGGAGATACAATTCAACCCATTAGTGTGATGTCAAAGGAGCTTAGTTAAAAACTCTTCCTTTGGGCCCGGCACAGTGGCTCATGCCTGTAATCCCAGCACTTTGGGAGGCCTAGACGGGTGGATCACCTGAGGTCAGGAGTTTGAGACCAGCCTGACCAGCATGCTGAAACCCCGTTTCTACTAAAAATACAAAATTAGCTGGGCATGGTGGTGCGTGCCTATAATCCCAGCTACTTGAGAGGCTGAGGCAAGAGAATCGCTTGAACCTGGGAGGTGAAAATTGCAATGAGGCAAGATTGTGCCACTGCACTCCAGCCTGGGCAACAAGAGGGAAACTCCATCTCAAAACAAAAACAAAAACAAACCTCTGTCTTTTTAGGAGCCTGTTGGATACCCTTCAGGATTATGCTTAAGGACAAGAGGATCCTTGTAGTAAACAAATCATCTCTTTATGTAGGCATTACATTTTCAGCCTGACCCCTCCTTCGTGCATACATGTGTGCATGTGTCCATCTGTGTGTGTGTTTGCTTGATTTCTAGCCAGTGCATCCTATTTTTTTTTTTTTTTTTGAGATGGAGTCTTGCTTTGTCGCCCAGGCTGCAGCGCAGTGGCATAATCTCAGCTCACTGCAACATCCGCCTCTCATGTTCAAGTGATTCTTGCACCTCAGCCTCCCAAGTAGCTGGGATTACAGGCTTCCACCACCACACCTGGCTAATTTTTGTATTTTTAGCAGAGATGGAGTTTCACCATGTTGGCCAGGCTGGTCTTGAAGTCCTGGCCTCAAGTGATCTGCCTGCCTTGGCCTCCCAAAGTGCTGGGATTATAGGTGTGAGCCATTGCGCCCAGCCCAGCACATCCCATTTAACTAGTCTTTTTCTAACAGGGCAAACCTGGAAATTAGCTATGCCAAAGGACTTCAGAAACTGGCAAGCAAGCTGAGCAAAGCATTACAGAACACAAGAAAAAGGTAAGTATTGTGGCAGAGGTAAGGCAAAATCATCCCTTTTTTTCATTTGTTTTGTTTTCTTTCGAGACAGGGTCTTGCTCTGTTACCTGGGTTAGAATACAGTGGCACAATCACAGTTTACTGCACCCTTAATCCCCCAGGCTCAAGCGATCCTCCCACCCAGCCTCCCATATAGAGTAGCTGGGACCATGCCCTGCTAAATTTGTTTTTTGTTGAGACAAGGGCTTACTATGTTGCCCAGGTTGGTCTTGAACTCCTGGGCTCAAGTAATCCTCCTGCTTTGGCTTTCCAAAGTGCTGGGATTACATGTGTGAGCCACCACACCCAGCAAAATCATTCTTAAAAGTAGTAAAAAGTGACATATGTTCCACTCCAGCTTCCTCTTCTAAACATGGCAAGTACATCACATCAAGCATGGCTTCCAGTTCTTGGGCACTTAATATGTGCATGCACTGTGTTAATGCTTTACTGATACCCCCATTTAATCCTCATCAGAACCCTTGAGAGGTCTTGTTATCCCTGTTTACAGATAAGGACTTGAGACTTGGAAAGTTCAAGATACTTCCGCCAGTCACCCAGATCATGAGTTGCATAGCTGGATTCTTCCTCAGTGTTTATGACTCCTAAGGCCACATTCATAATAGGCCTTGGTAATGACATTTAACTTGGGAAGTGGTGTTGTAAAGTCAGATTGTCTTGGAGTCAGGAAGTATGAATCCTATGTTTTCTCTATTCTATGACCTTTGACAAGTAACCTGGCCTCTGTGTGCCTTTATTTCTTCCTCTGTTGGAGAGAGTAATAATATTTGCTCTATTGTGTGTGCGTAGGCATATTAAATGAGATCATGTGTGTGACGAGCTTAGCACATTATGTGCTGAAAGGTGTTGGTTCACATTCTTTTCAATATATTGCAGCACTAAGAATGAAGTAGTTTCCTTTATTGGGAGAGAGAAGAAAGATAGTGGTATACCAAAAATAGTTCATTTGTGGTAATTTGCTACAAAGATTCTTGATTAATACATGCAGACGTGCCCTTGAACTGGCAGTGCCATTGTAGAGGTCTCTTTTGATGATGAAAGAGATAAAGAGGGGAAAGGAAAAAAAGAAGCCTTCTGGAGCTCATATTTCTATTCTTCTTTAGGCATCAGCCATAATAACAAATGGTGACTTTGAAGGTGCTCTAGCTTTATTTTTATTTTTAGGACAGTCTTTTAGTAGACTACAGTAAACCAGTATAGCACAGTGGTTGAGTATAGATAGACTGCCCAGGTTTAAATTCTAACTCTACCACTTACCGGGTGAATGACCTAGGACAATTTATCTTATCTCTCAAGATCTCTTTAAAATAAAAGTAAAGCCTATCTCTTATGGCTGCTGTGAGAATTAAATGCGGTAATAGAAGAAGTATGCTTAGCAGAGTACCTGGCAGGGAACGAAAGCTCTGTGAATGTCCATTATGTTTTTGATTCGAATTGCCTCCTGAGGAATGAGAGGTATAGGGGTGTAGGGGTGTGTGTATTGTGCTGCAGCTGTGGCATCCAGCAGAATACTACCAAAGAGTTGGCAGGTCCAGAATGTTAGGCCAACTGGGATTAGTACAGTATTTAACAGTGAACATTAGTGAATTTTTATCCATACTCAAATCTGTGTTAGGTACTACAGATATCTTATTACTTCATTACTTCTAATTCTCTTTCTTTCTTTCCTTTCTTTCCCCTCCCTTTCTCCCTCCCTCCCTCCCTTCCTTCCTTCCTTCCTTCTCTTTCAATTTTTACCCCGTCTTTTCCCAGGTGTTGACCAAGTTACTTCTACTTTAAAAGATCAGTTAAGTGAGGGCCAGAGATTCTTCCAAGGTCATGCAGAAAACAAAGGGGGAGCATCTCCATTCAGACACAGGCCCTTCTGAGGCCACATGCTTGGTCCTGTCCTGATACCCAGCTCCTCCAAGGGGCAAATGTCAGATACTCTACCCTAAAATGTGCCTGACTTCATTTTTTAAAAATCAGCTATATTGAGTTTTAATTTACATGCAATAATAAGCACCCGTTTTAAGCATATGATCTGATCAGTTTTGACATATGTAAATACCCTGTGTAGCCACCACTAAAATCAAAATGTGGACATTTTCATCACACCAAAAGATTTATCATGCCTGTTTGCGCTCCTTCTCACCCAATCCCAAGCAACCACTGATCTACTTCCTGTCAATATAGATTCATTTAGTGTTTTCTGGAATCTCCTATAATTGTAAGTACATAGCAGGTGTGCTCTTGTGCCTAAGCTCGTATCTGGCTTTGGATGCGTAGAAAATCTGGCATCTTTTGGTCTAGTTCTCTTATTCTTAGACTGCAGGATGCAAACTAAGGCATTTTGAGGCAAAACCTCTGCACCATTCTGATGAAGGCAAGGATGCAGATCCACCCCCTTCCTCTTCATCAGAATCTACACAGGCCTCTGTACTTGGGGTTTCTTGATGTGACTGGACTTACTATCCTGACTTGAAGGCAGACAAGATGGGGCCACTGTGGGAGAAAAATGACATCACACTTCCTAATCCTCCCACTATGCCATAAGGGACTGGGTAGCATTATCCTTTGTGTTAAAGTGAGATACTGCTTATAGGACCATAAACTATCTGAGCTATTGTCTTCAAACCCAGCAGGGAACAGGAGCCGGACTCCAACCCCAAGGACAGCAGCAGCAGGACATGAGCAGGGCTCTCAAGCCCTTTATCACTTAACTTTTCTGAGTCTCAGTTTTTTCATACCTATGTGTATCCTATGACCAACCTGTTCTCACCCTTGGCTATTTTATTTCCCCTATTTTATTTTATTTTTATTTCTTATTTTTTTCTTTTTGGTGGGGAGAGGGGCTCAGGGGATAGGGTCTTGCTCTGTTGCCTAGGCTGCAGTACAGTGGCATGATCATAGCTCACTGTAGCTTCCTGGGCTCAAGCAATCCTCCTACCTTGGCCTTCATAGTAGCTAGGACTATGGGCATGCATCACCACACCTGGCTAATTTTCAAAATTTTTTTGTAGAGAAAAGTTCTCGCTGTGTGTGTTGTGCAGGCTAGTTTCGAACCTGTGGCCTCAAGTGATCCTCCCACCTCAGCCTCCTAAAGTGCTGGGATTTACAGGCACTTCAGGAGACTGAGGCAGTGCCACCACGCCTGGCCATTTCCACTATTTTATACAGATATGAAATAGGAAATGAAAATCTAAATGAAAAATGACTGGAAAAAAAAGCAGTATATATAATGAGTATAGCGCAAATAAATGTATTGGCAGAATTTAATCTCACAGAGAAATTGAAATAAGGTTAGGGAAGTGAATGCAATTGTTGAATGTGGTGAATCAGATGTGATGCTGTATTTCTGGCCAGCACATCCTATTTCCTAGGAAAATGACACTCACCTTTGTTCCCCACTGTTTTTGCCTTTAGCTGTATCAGCAGTGCCTGGGCCTGGGCCTCAGAGGGAATGAAATCCACAGCGGACCTGCATCAGTGAGTTCTCCCACCCTGGCCTTTCTCCAACTCTAAAGGGAGTCATAAATATTTAAAGTGGGTGTGCTACAAATATTCCACTTCCAGCTTGCACTGAATTGATGTGCCAGAACACACTACTTTGTTTCCCCAGAAAGTAATTTGGAAAGTAGATATGAACCCTGATATTATGCTTCTGTGTCTTTTATGTTTTATTTCCAGAAAACTTGGCAAAGCAATTGAATTGGAAGCAATAAAACCGACTTATCAAGTCCTAAATGTACAAGAGAAGAAGAGAAAATCAGTGAGTCCAAACCTTTCTTTACTTTTCCTGTTTAAAGCAAGATTCCTGTGTTTAGCCCAGAAAGGAAAAGGTGATCTGAATGTGGTATCAGGTTTCAGGAATTTATCCTAAAAATAAAATAAATACTTGTATTTATTTTAAAATAAATGAATAATAAAAAACACAAATCCAAGATTTATGTACAAGGATGTTTGTTAGAGCATTGCTTATAATAGTGAAAAACTGGAAACTACTGAATCATTCAAAATAAATTGTGATAAATTCAAGCAATAGAATAATTTGCAACCATTCAAAATCTTATTGTAGAAGAATTTAATCACATGGGGATTGTTTTTCACAGTATACTGTTAAATAAAGCAGAACAAAAAAGTCTAATTTATACAATCTCAACTTCATAAAATGAATATGTATATATTATATATGTATAGAAAAAACTGGCAGAAGCTTCTCAAAATGTTAATGAGTGATCTTTAGATGGTGAAATTGGAGGTTTTTATTTCATTTTTATACTTTTTTTGCATTTTAAAAACAATTTTATCATTCTGTTTGTAAATAAGAGAATGATAAGCACAATTTTTACAAAGATGTTTTCTAGCTTATTAGCTTGGTATTATGTAAAGGTAATAATGGGTACAATCCTCAAATATCCTAAAAATTACAGAAAAATAATTCAACATCCTTTCAGGGGCACCTGGTCCTCTGATAGCAGATCCTCTACTCTTTCTCTGTGCCTTTCCTTCTAGAACAGTTTTTTTCTTTCTTTCCCTCCCTCCCTCGCTCTCTCCCTCCCTCCCTTCTTTCCTTCCTTCCTTCCTTCCTTCCTTTTCTTTCTTTTTTTTCTCTCTTCCTTCCTTCCTTCCTTCCTTTTCTTTCTTTTTTTTCTCTCTGTCTCCCGTTCTTTCTTTTCCTTTCTTTTTTTGACGGAGTTTTGCTCTTGTTGCCCAGGCTGGAGTGCAATGGCATCATCTTGGCTCACTGCAACCTCCACCTCCCAGGTTCAAGCGATTTGCCTGCCTCAACCTCCCGAGTAGCTGACATTACAGGCGTCTGCCATCATGCCTGGCTAATTTTTGTATTTTTAGTAGAGACCAGGTATCACCATGTTGGTCGGGCTAGTCTACAACTCCAGACCTCAGGTGATCTGCCCATCTCGACCTCCCAAAGTGCTGGCATTACAGGCGTCAGCCACTGCCCTTGGCCTAGAACAGTTACATTTGTGTTCCTTTTTCTTTTTCTTTGTGTATTATTCAGTAGTTAAGCACTTTATACTCTACTTCTAGGCAACATAATTGGGTGTTTAATAAACACTGCTTGGCTGTCATAGGGGTAGGGTTATGGTCACTGTTTGTTTCAGGACCAGGTGCAGGTAAGATGTTTGTAAGCTGTGGTAGGTGGTCCCTGTGAAGGGAAGGGGTGGTGGTTAAGGGGGAGTTTCAAGGAAATACAGTCAGATAAAGCACATCCTCAGGGGCAAGTCAGAAGGATGAGGAGAGGTATGAAAGTTCTGATGGAAGAGAAATGATTTTTAAAAATTTTATTCAAACTCATTAAGCTGAGTCAGGAAGTGGAATTGATATTTGTATGTACATAGGTATATTTTACCAGAAAGGATGCTCTATTCAGTTTCGGGTGATGGACAGAACTTGATGGGAATTACTGGCAAGCACTATAACCTGCCTTAGCAAGCCAACTTAATAAAAACCAACTACTAGTCTATATTTCATTGATTACAAAATATTTTTCACACTGCATAATATAAGTCATTAGCATTTCTTTAATATTTACCATAAATGAGGCATAGTCCTGTGATAATTGATCACAGTGCTTTAGTTAATGGATGTCATGACCACCTCCAAACTACTGGTCCTGTTTTTCTTCTTTTCTGCATTGCCCCTCTCCACTGCACTCCACCATCCCACTCTACTCTCACAAAAGATTAGATTTGATTTTCTAAAGTGAACTTGTTCCACATTCCAGCCACATACATGAAATCAAAAGTGGCATAGTACATAAAATATTTTCATTGTGTCTGTTACAATGAACCATATACTCTAAATTGAACCAACTGGAAAAAAATAAAAGTGTAGCATTCGCTAGATCTCAGAGTGGTTGAATAATGGCTGATTGCTGGGTCTGTGTTCCGGGGAAAAATGTTCTGCTGTAACTTCCATCAGATCCTCCTGGGAAGTTGTCAGGATCATTTTCATCATTATTATTACTGTCTCTTTGGCTATTTAAAAGCAAGGGAAAAAGTTAATTATGATAAAGAGTTCAATATCTTTGAAATTAAAGCAATATTCACTTCAGGGGCAATGGAGACACATAGTAAAATTGGCACTGTTAGGACTGTTACCAGTTTTCACGGTGTTGAGGTTTTTGCTGCATGGATTGACATGGAAGATGATGTGATGGGACTAGCAACAATATCAGCTCATGCAAGGGCCTCTTGCACATGACTGCACATGTTTGCATGCTTTTTACATTCTTATAGATTAGAAATAATTATTTTACTAAGTCCTGTTACTCGACACAGGGATAAGATAATTTGTCTAATATGTCCATTGTAGGATCTTGAAATTCCCATGAATTGTAATAGTGATTGATAAGCTAGTACTGTGACTGTCTTAGTTCAGGCTGCTCTAACAAAATACCATAAACTGGATAGTTTATAAATAATAGGAATTTGTTTCTTACAGTTCTGGAGGCTGGGAAGTCCAAGATCAAGGCACCCGCACATTAGCTGTCTGATGAGGGCCCACTTCCTGGTTCATCAGTGGCTATTTACTCACTGTAACCTCAGATGACAGAAGTGGCTAGGCAGCTCTTGGAGTCTCTTTTATAAGGGCACTAATCTCATTCATGGGGGCTCCACCTTCATGACCTAATCATCTCTCAAAGACTCCACCTCCAAACACCATCACTTTGAGGGAATAGGTTTCAATCTATAAATTTTAGGGGCACAAACATTTAGTCTATTGCAGTGACTAAAGAAGAAGAAAGCAAAGCTTTGTTTCCTTTTTCCTTCTTCAATAGCTTGACAATGAAGTTGAAAAGACAGCAAATCTTGTCATTAGCAACTGGAATCAGCAAATTAAGGCAAGTATCCACAGATATCATTTGTGTAAACTCAGTTTTTAGAATTGAAGTGTTTTGCTTTCATACAAATGTGATGACGTTCTAGCATTAGTACTTCTAAGTGCTAACTGAAGAGAAAAATGTTTCCTTACCTGAGTTGTTACATAGATATATTTTTCACCAAACCAATGGAAGTGCATGGCTCTAAATATGATTATTTAGAACTTATCATGTGCTAAGTGCTCTACATTTATGTATTTAATCATCACAATAACCCAATGTCATATGTCATTGTGCATTGCCCCATTTTACAGATTGGGCAATGGAGATAGAGAGAGTTGAAGTAATTTTCCCAAGGTTACAGAGCTGGTTAATGGTTGAATCAATGGTTGTCATAAGTTGGGTTCCAGGGTCACTGCTCTTAATCATTACATTATGCTGACTGCCATTCTGTATAATTTGTAACTTACAGCAAATGATAAACACTACCTGGGTTTTGTTTTTTTTCATTTGTAGAAAGGTGTTAGTGATATGTACATCACTAGTAAGAGTGGCCCAGTGAGGGGTGGGTAGTGATATGTAAAAGGGGATGCATATATCAATTGCATGAGTATGTGGGGTCCGCTTTTTGTGCACAGCACTATTCTAAGACATAACTTTTTTTCAAGTAATTTAAAATTTAGTTGGCTAGATGACATATGTGCAGGAAATAGGGAGTACATTCTAAGGAGAGGAATTACAATCTGATGTGGGAAGCTAGAGCATATCAGTATGAGTTCTGAAGCAGAGAAAATAACAGATGGGATCCATATGCACAGAAGATTATTCTAGAACAATGTAGTATAGGAGGAATTCATTTCAGGTAGAAAGGACTAGCAGTAAATCTGCTAACAAGACTCAATGAACCCCTCTGAGAAGACTTGTTCTGTAAGTGTTGAAATCCTTTTTCATCTCCAAAGCGTTAGTGCCCACAGAGAACCTTTACAAGTAAACAGCCACTGATGCCAAATAACTAGAGATAAACGCCCTCAGAAACAGGCAAACTTGGTGTTACTTCCCAAGCTTCTGCCAAAACTGAGGACTGACTCCATAAGACCAAGGACATTAATAAAAAGTGTTTGATGTAAGTGAATTTCTATGTCCACAGTAGTTACAATGGTAAAAGGATGCTCATGAGAATCACTTTTATAATAAGTCCCAGCAACAGTGTCCAGTCATTTGTTTTTAGTTTTGCCATGGATTTTATGAGTTTTCTTTAAAAGGAATTGTTTTTTATTTTTTTAAAGAAATAGAGACAGGGTCTTGCTATGTTGCCAAGGCAGATCCCGAACTCCTGGGCACAAGGGATCTGCCCACCTTGGCTTCCCAAAGTGTAGGGATTACAGGCATGAGCCACTACACCTGGCCTTAAAAGGATTTGTTTTTAAAAATCCATTTTCTTTAAATATTCAGCTTTCACAGGAATTCAGTACAATGAATCAAAAGCCAGAAATAATGCTGAGAGGCTGCAATGGCTCCCAAGAAAAAACATCTTTTATCATTTCCCAGTTTTTATCAAGTCATTTTTCTAAATAAAAGATTTCATTTTTTTTTTATGAAGAGTGACAGAGAAATTAGAGAACATAAAATTCTTGGGCTATAATAAATTTCTCCCTTGAAGTTACAATTCAAGGGATTCAGCATGTCAGTAATGAAGTACAGTCTATTTAGGAGACTCTAATGAAAAGCCTTAAAGGACCAAATATTCATGCCTCACAATCTTATTTCCCAGCAGGCATGTGGCTGACAGGAGGTGGAGAAAGAGGGCCATGAGCTTATTTCTTTAATTTTCCTTTGCTGAGGTTTCTTACATTTAGAGGGAGGCAGAAGGCGTTGCCTCTGATTCCCAAGCTAAAAAGCCAAGGAAGAGAGACCTCCCCTTTACTATCTGGTTTGACAGTCCTTGCAACCTCGAGGCCAAAAGCCAAAATCTTTCAATCAGCCTACTTCCTGAACAGGCTAAATCCAACTGAAACCAAATTCTGTTTGCATAATTTATCTCTGGAGCATCATCTTCAGCTAAATTCAACTAGGTAGACTAGGAAATTATCCCCTAAATCCTAACCTGCTCCAAGGGGTCAGCATGAACAGGGTAGGGAGACTCTGAGTGCTCCTTCCTTCCCCACTTCTTTCTACTTCTCCAACTCCAGCAAGTGCAGGGCGTTTCACAAGATGCCAGGCAAATGCCCAGCTCTCAGGCTTGGCCATCAGGAAGCAAATTGCGACCCTTGCCACACGTTTTAAGATAACATCTTAAAACAATCTCAATTGTAGCCTAGGTTGATGTAAAGAATGATGCAGGCAGTCTTCCGTGTTTGTTGTGATTTCTTCTGTGGTAAAGCGATTATGTTCACTAGAACATTATTTTGGAAGTTTGCAGGCCTTCGATGATTTAGCAAAATTCAAAACCCTCTTGAGGGTACCCAATATAATGAAAAAATATGCAGGAGTTCTCAGGACAAAGTGTTAGCTGCTCTGATGTTTTAGGTACATTTTGAAGTGAGGATGGGAATGAGTATGCATTTTTGTTTCAGCCTTTGGAGGATTCTAGGATACATAATCATTAAAGCTAGCACATGAATGTGCTTTGTTCCAAAAGAGAAGAGTTTTCTCTTGGCATCAGCCTCTGCTCCTTTTTTTGTTGTTTGTATGTTTCTCACTGTAGGCCAAGAAGAAATTAATGGTTAGTACCAAGAAACATGAAGCACTTTTCCAGCTTGTAGAAAGCTCCAAGCAATCTACGACTGAGAAGGAGAGGCGGAAGGTAAGCTGTCATGGCTGGCTGAGCGCATGTGCCATAGAGACGGATGGGCTTGCTGCCCTTAGCTACAAACACAAGAGAATGGGTTGATTCTTCTTTCCCTGTGGGATCCCTGCAGAGATGTAGCTTGACAGAGCATAAAAGGGGATTCCAAATCATTCCTTGTGCGCACGCGCGCGCACACACACACACACACACACACACACAACACACACACACACATTTTAAACTTTATTTTAATTTTCTTAAATAGAAGGGATCTCACTGTGCTGCCCAGGCTGGCATCAAAGTCCTAGGCTCAAGGGATTCTCCCACCTCAGCCTCTCAAGTAGCTGGGACTACAGAAGCATGCTACTTTGCCTGGACCACATGTATTCTTTAAAAATATTATTGACAGATGACAAATGAGACCAATGATGCCCAAATTTTTTGAAAGGAAACTCTATTAATATTATCTTTAAAAAACCTCTCAGCTAATACCCCAAATAAGTTAAAAAAATACTTTATATATGTTGTTTGTTACATATAGTACTTTATGTATTATGTTAATATGTTCTGAACATTATGAAGCATAAAAGTAGAAATGTTTCCAGGATGAGAGAAAGATGAAATAATATTTGAAATGATTAGCAACCATGATGTCTTTAGATAATCATTAAGTAATGTTTTCAGGAAAAATATATACTTGGAGCAAGGTTCAGCCTTAACCATAGTAAATTTAAATGCATATTTCTAATAGTCTTCTTGATAATTTTTTTTTTTTTTCTTGAGACAGAGTCTCACTCTGTGGCCCAGGCCGGAGGGCAGTGGTGCAGTCTTGGCTCACTGCATCCTCCGACTCCAGGCTTCAAGAGATTGTCCCACCCCAACCTCTGGAGTAGCTGGGACTATAGGTGCGCACCACCAGGCTTGGCTAATTGCTTTTTCTTTTTCTTCTTTTTTTTTTTTTGCATTTTTAGTTTAGACAAGGTGTCACCCTGTTGGCCAGGCTGGTCTCGAGCTCCTGACCTCAAGTGATCTGCCTGCCTCAGCCTCTCAAAGTGCTGGGATTATAGGCATGAGCCACCACCCCTGGCCAGCCTTCTCGATAATTTTTTTATTTGTTCATCAAAATTTTTGTCAGATCTCATTTCACTGTTTGCCCTTTCACGTGGGTGGTAACACACTCACAACCAGGAGAGGTGGCAGCGTCAGCTCGGACATTTTGCTGTGGATTCTTTGTGATTAAATTGTTAGTGGAACATCAATCTACAGGTTCTTGGCAGAAATCTAAGATATTTGTGCATTTTGTTTATGCTAACCTAACTGGAGCCAGATAATATCTGTAAAACTACATGGCCCAGGTATATGTCAATGGCCACATGTCCCAGATGCTGGAAGGGAAAACACAGTGAGGGCCTATGGCAGCTTTTCAGGTTGCAGAATCCCCACCCTCCCCCCAGGCCATATCAGAATCCACAACTGTCCATGTGTGAGCACCAGTGTAGACTCATATATTAAGTAAGAGTAAGCTTGACCACTAAGTTTTCAGGCAAAATGAACACAAATAATATTGGGGTACAGGAATAAAATAAAGATTTTCTGCTTACACCCCAATAGATTATCTTGCACACCTCTTGTGGTATGTGCCCCAGATTGAAAACCTTTGACATAGTCAATATCTTCTACAAAAGATGAGTCCCTACTAAGGAAATGCAACCAGCACCACTGCAAACCCCTTAAAAGGAAGAGAAAATTGTCATTGCAAGTAGCTCTTTAATCTGAAGAAATATCCATTGAATAACTTAAATTCATTGTTAGCAAGATTTCACAAGAGTCTTGTTTCTTTCCATGTCAGTCTTCACAGTTGGAAATGATCATAATAAGTATTGAATAATGAGGCAGCTTCCGAGGAGGCGAACCCACAGTCTGTTAAAATACTCAGTGCCAGGACCTGCCTAGGCATTCTGAGTGCTCATTAGAAGCTATTCTTTATTGATGTCATGCAATAATAAAGAAAAAAGCATGGCAGCTAAGTGGTGAATTTCCTCTTCCTACCCTCATCAGCAGCTTCCCTGGGAAGTAAAGGTCCACAGTGCTCTCTCCCTTCGTCCAGCTGGTAACCATAACCTTGGTTGTTACTCTGTCACACACCCATGCCATCTTCCCTGCTTAATCGGGCAGCTTTTGTTAATCCTGAAGCTGAACACCCAAGAGGGAGGCATTCATTTTCTCATCTCACACAGAAGCGCTCATGATCACCTGAGCTGATGCTCTGTGCTGCTCAGCAAATTCTTCCTTGTTTCCTGCCCAGGAGTCTTGATTCTCTCACCAGAAGCTGATCTAAACCTCCATTCTCCTCACACCTCCATCCACGCACTCCTGGCACAGTATCTTGCCTCCTACCTCACAGAGTAAATAGAAGTCAGCACAGCCACCTGCCTACTGAAGTAATAGCATTTACATATCTGCAATGGAGAGGCCAGTTCTCCATCCTGTGCTCTAATCTCATCCCATCCTGCCTCCCAGAGGCCCTCTCTTGATTATCCCATATTTCCCTTTTCTTGGATAGCCCTCTCCCTAATGATTCCTCCCCACCAGGCTTCTATAACTCCCCCTGTCTTATAGTCTGTTCAGGCTGCTATAACCAAGTTCCATAGATGGGGGTGGCTTCAACAACAGACATTCTGGAAGTGTAGGTGGAACCCTCCTGACCTAATTTGGTGGGAAGGCACAAATAGTCTATTGCACCTTCTCCCCATCTTACAAGAGTAAAGAAAGTTGCAGGGACACTTATTTATGGGGTCTTCTGTTCCTCTCCAGATATTGTCGTGTCTCCTTTTTACAATACATCTTAGTGAAAGGGGTGTCTGCTCTATCTCCACTTCCTCATCTTCTGTTCGCTCTTCAAATCACCCTAATCAAGCTTTCCCCATCTTTCCACTAAGAGTGTTCTTGCCATTGAAAACAATGTCTTCTCATTGCTAAAGCTAACAGGTACTTTCCAAGTCTTACCTTAGTTCACTTATCGGAAGTATTAAGCATTGTTTACTTCCCCTTTGTAGAAATATTCTCCTCTTTTGACTTTAGTAACAACTCATGCTTTTGTTTTCCTCCTCCTTTCTGTAAATTTTAAATTAGATTCTTTATGGGCTGCCTTTTTTGGCCTGATCTTTATATATTGCAGTTTCTGAAGATTTCTCTTCTGGGCCTCACTCTGTTCTCTTCACCATTGTCTCTCCAGTGTCTGATACAGTACTCTTGATATCAGGTACTCAATAAATAATACATACTCACTAAGTATATTCTCAAAACTTCAACTACAGTATCTATGCTGGCAATACCCAAATTTGTATCTCTAGCCCAAACCAGTCTGTAAACTGCTTTCTGACACCTCAAACTCAATATCTAAAAATCCAACCACCACTTCTTTCTACCAAAGATAATCTTTATTTCTGTGTTTTCTGTGTCTTTGAATATCATCACCCCCCATATCCTCCCAATTCTAACTCAAACCAGATACTTCAGTGGCACAATCTTGGCTCACTGCCACCTCCACCTTCCAGTTTCAAGCAATCCTCCTGCCTCAGCCTCCCAAATAGCTGGGAGTACAGGCATGCACCATCATATCTGGCTAATTTTTGTATTTTTAGTAGAGATGGGGTTTTGCCATGTTGGCCAGGCTGTTCTCAAACTCCTGACCACAAGTGATCTGCGCACCTTGGCCTCCCAAAGTGCTGGGATTACAGGCGTGAACCACCGCACTCAGCCAGGAAAAACTCTTTCACGTGGCCTGTAAGACCCTTCCTGACTTGAACCTTGCCAATCTCTTCAACATCACCTCTCCCCATTCTCCATCGTAAACTGTGTGATCCAACTTCACCAAAAAATATTTTTCTGTATCCTGCCATGCTATTTTGCCTCACCAACTCCTACTTTCATTTTAGTTTTATTCATATGGAGATCAATTTTTTGAGCACCTACTATGCACCAAGTTATAGCTGAAATGTCATTTTAATTTCAAGGCTAGTTTAGATGCCTCTCTTGATGTCCTTCCCAGTGGTACCTATACAATTCTATCAGCACACAAGATGGTAATGGTCTGTGGGTCCCTGACTAGAGAGGGAGCCTGTCTTGTTCCATTTTCTATTCCCAAAGCCTTGCACATGACACATAGAAGGCCCTCAATGTCTGGTGAACAAATGAATGTGATGTTTGTTCCAAGAGCAAAAAAAAGGAAGGAAAGGAAAAGAAGTCAATCTTTGACAAATTTTAGTAAAGGTTTCTGAGCAGTTCCTTAGGTAAGAATACAGGAGTCTACAGCTGGGCACAGTGGCTCAGGCCTATAATGCCAGCACTTTGGGAGGCTGAGGTGGGCAGATTATCTGAGGTCAGGAATTCAAGACCAGCCTGGCCAAGATGGTGAAACCCTGGGCATGGTGGCACATGCCTGTAATCCCAGCTACTCGGGAGGCTGAGGCAGGTGAATCGCTTGAACCTGGGAGGTGGAGGGTTGTGGTTGAAGCTGAAGGGCAGTCACCACCACGCCTCGCAGCACTGGCCAACCCGAGTGAGACTCCATCGTTAAAAAAAAAAAAAATTAGGCTAATAATACTGTATAGTATATATATATGAGTTAAGCTTCTTCATTTCATTAAATATACCTTGGAACTACTGCTATAAATTTGCTGATGCAGGAAAATTCTAGTCCCAACATCTATAGTGCAGGCTTTGATAGACTATTAAGGTGTCTCCAAAGCAACCTCCAGTTTCATTTCCTGCGGAAGTGGCTGAGCATTGTCAGTAAGAATCTGCAGTAGCAGTGATTGTAGCAGAGATACGACGTAACTCTCTGAGTCCTTGGCATTTGGAATGTTGCTAGGTAAATGTTCACCAAGCTTGCATTTCTACAGACAGCATGTTTGGTTCATTCAAACTGTTGGATTAAAACCAGGATTACGTACTTGGTGTAGGTGATACATCGGCTGGGGGGAAGGCGATAGCCCGAAAAACAATTCAAATGGAATAAGAAACAAGTGGAACAGTATTAATATTCAACCATTTTGTGATGAATCGTGTTTTGATTGTAGGTTAGCTCAACAGGTATCCTGGTTAAATAAGAGCCGTCCCATTTTAACCCGAAGCCTTTGTCTCTGTCTTGAATCGCCGAAACTACCGCCTAATCGCAGGTGTCTTGATGTTTTTGTTTTTTTTTTTTTTTTTAGACGGCGAGTGCTCGCGTCTGTCGCCCAGCTTGGCGTGCAGGCCGGATCTCAGCTCACTTGGCAAGCGTTCCGCCTCCCGGGTTTACGCCCATTCTCCTGCCCTTCAGCCTCCGAGTAGCCCGGGGCTTACAGGGTGCCCTCCGCCGCACCCATGCCCGGATAATTTTTGTGATTTTGGGTCAAGGAGACGCGATTTCAGCCGTGTTGTAGCCAGGAATGGTCTCGATCTGCTGAGCCTGGTATTTGCGCCGTTGTCGGGCTCCCGAGTATGCATTGAGAGGAATTTACGAAGGGCTTGCCATCGCCGCGCCGGCCCTGATACTTTTTACAAGATGCGTTTAAAGATACCATTGCTTCAGAACCATTTCAGAGGAGATATTAGTGTCAGGAAATTTCAGAGATTTCTAATCCCGCTACAGAAGTTGAAAGTTAAGTATTGGCTGTTTGTAGGAAAATTCTGGAAATTTGCAGATTTTTACCAAGCATTTTCCAGGTCATCTTCTAATAGAGTAAAATTGAGGGATTGGGATGGGTGCGATGGGGGCCCACCACTGATAATTTCTAACTCGTGGGACGGCTGAGGTAGACAGGTTGCTTGAGCAGAGGAGTTGGAGACCAGACTGGGCAACATGGTGAAACCCCACCACTGCAAAAAAATACAAAACTTAGCCAGGTGTGCTGGTGCATGCCTGTGGTCCCAGCTACTTGGGAGGCTGAGATGGGATCATTGCTTGAACCCAGGACAGGGAGGTTGCAGTGAGCCAGTGAGCCATGATTATACCACTGAACTCCAGCCTGGGTGACAGAGCCAGACCCTGTCTCCAAAAAAAAAAGAAAAAGAAAAAGAAAAAGGGAAAAGAAATATATTGAATGCTTCAAAAATATATCTATAAAGTTGGAGAATAATTCATGCAATCCAACTTCTTTGTTTCTCAGAAACATGAAATTACTTGTCTGGGTATTTTAAGAATCAGTTTCAGCTACCCTGGCCCAGGGAGTTTTGTATTACTGTACACTGATTTTCCAGAAGATTTAGTAATGAGAATGACAAATTTTGGTGATAGGCAAGAGGGGGCTTTTTGTAAGGGAGCAGATCATTGGGCAGCAGTATGAGAGGAAACCATCTATCAAGCTGTCCATAACTTGCAGTGAACATTGGGCATGTATTTCACTGGCAATAATTATACTGGCTAAATTTTGAGTGCTATGCCAGGTGTTGGGCAGTGTGCCACCTGCCTCATCTGTGTTACCTATGTCAGAGCCAAGGGAAATCTTCCCTTTTGCCCTGTGATGTTAGGCTAAAAATCACTGACAAGAGGCAGATGAATAGGAGAAAAGGCATACTGATGTATTTGATCATAGTTTTATGTGACATGGGAGCCTTCAGAAAAAAGATGCAAAGATACAGGGGAACTTGTCTATGTTTATGCTTAGGTTTAACAAAATGTAGAAATATTATGTACAAAAGGGGTGCAATCTAATGCTAATAGGCTGCATGGGGAAACCCAGTAAGGCCCTCTTTCTAGACTCTTCTTGGCCTCTCTGTGCAGCCTTCCTTCCTGCTGGGGGTGGGGCAGGACCCTCTCTGGAAAAGGGGTCTTGTGACCTACAGTCAAACCAAGTCAGTCAGATAATTTCTTTATGGCCAGTTTTTACACAGAAAGGCAGTGGAAAGTGGGAGTAATATTTTTAGATTTCTATGGCTGGCTTTGGAGAAAAGGGGTTCTGGTTTCTGTGACCTTCCTTGGGGAAGAGGGATTCTGGTTTCTACCAATAGCCTCCGGGGAGAACGGGAGTGAGAGATAGGAGGACAGAAGGTCAGAGAGAAACGTTTACTTCTGAGGCTGCTTCTGAGACCTTCATTTTTGTGGTATTGTTTTCTGAGTCCCAAGATGTGCCCGAATTCTCAAAGCAACCCAGTATGAGAAAACTGTGGCTCAGGAAGGTTAAGTAACTTGTTTGCAGCTAGGACCAGGACTCTTATCCTGGAAGTTTGATTCCAAACCTCTACTTCTGGGTTTATATAGTCAAAGTAAAATAATATTGCTAGATAGAACAGTAGCCAGACTCATTCTAAAAATTAGTTCTAAAAATTGTGTGATTCCACAAGTCTATACCTAACCTGGTAAGAAATGCAGGAGCCTGAAGGATTTACCAGATAAGACTATGGGATTCATTGGCCAATTGCAGTCTTGACCTGTACTGTCAATTCTCAAAAGCTGTGTTGTTTGACCTTCTCTGTGATTGTGTGAGTGTAGACAAATCACTTCCTATGTAAGGGTCTCAAGCCCATCAATGTGTAAGATTGGGGGAACCATACTGGAAGGCCCTTGGGTTTCCTTCAGGTTTGGCCATGCATTTTTTTCTGATAAAGATCTTTGGTTTTGTCAACTATGGTCACTGTTTATGACTGTACGTGAGAGGTGAGAAACATATTGAGCCACATACAATTTTTTCTATGGAATTATAAAGGGCTTTCTAAAATGTGTGAGTGAGTCTGTGACATTGATGTTTTACATTAGCTCCTCAATAAACTGACAAAATCAACTGAGAAGTTGGAAAAGGAAGATGAAAATTACTACCAAAAAAACATGGTGGGTTATTCTACCAGACTGAAATGGGAAAACACACTAGAGAACTGCTACCAGGTAAGTTATATATTCACATTTTTTTCTTCTTCTGTGGAGTTTTGTGTGACCTTGAAGATGGAGGTCAGATCTACAGTGACAAGACCTGCCCTCTGTCATAGCTATGAGCATCACACATATTGTGACTCTAGACAAACCACCTTTCCTCTCATTGTTTCAATTTCTCCATGGATACAATTACTAGTGACAATTTATTGAATTTCATTGGCCAGAGTTTCTGTTCCTAATTCTTAGTGAACAGGATAGCACCCAGCTAACTTCAAAAAGTGCTGTCAAAGTGAAGTGTAAATTAAGGATTAAGTGTTAGGTGGTTGGAAATTAGTTTTAGTCATGAGCGATGACTCACACAGTGATCGCTTATGGAGGTCAGGCATTGTGTTAGGCACTGGAGATACAGAGCATTGAATAAAGTAACATCTCAATGCTTGAGATGTGTACATCTCCGTGGCAAAAGTAGACACATAAAGAAGGAATTGTGGCAAATTATCTGATAACAATAGGCAAAAGATGTCAGCAAGCACATCACAAAAGGAGAAATCAAAATAATCAAGAAACCTATGAAACAATGCTAGATTATTTGGCAAAAATTAGAACTTGACAATATCAAGTATTGGTAAGGATGTTAGGAAACAAGAATTACTGTACCCTGTAGGGGGAATAATTTAATGATATTTGGTGAAACTAAAATAAGCATGTACTTACCACACAGCAGTTCCCTAAAGCAGTTTTTAGGCATATATCCTACAGAAAAATGTATACTTTTATTCCAAGAATGATGCACAAGAATGTTTATTGCAGAATTGTTTATAATTCTGTACGCAATCTTCATACCCATCAAGAGAAGAATTACTCTTCAAAGATGCTCGCATTTGGAAAGCGAACTAATATCCATCGATGAAGTTAATTAAGACTATATTTAAACATGAGTTAACCTCAACAAACATGATGTTGAAGAAAAGAAACATACCACTTACACAATCTGTGTAAATTAAAATTCTTTTAAACTCATGTGGAAACTATACTGAGTTTATATGTGTGTGTTTGTAAACTTACACATATAGACTGTCCATGTATTCAGTGGCAGAAATGGAGCCCATGGTGGGAATACAACAGAACTGCCAGAAACAGCCACACAGCTTATGCACGGCCCCTGGTGAAGCAGTACAACCCCAGGCTCAACATAAATATGACCAAATTAAATAACTATCAATTCTGGAGAGTAAGAACATGCATATTTTGGTTTTATGTTTCCCCACCTGTTTTAAATTTTAAAAAAAAAGTGTTTAAAGCAGATATGATTGGAGAAAGCCATGATCTAATGGCTAGCATGGAACAAGTGCTTGGTGCTCAGTGTTCCTCTTTTAGGCTGTGCTAAGCACATTCATGTGCTTCTGTTTTGTATTAATCACGACATTATGAGGACATTGAGGCTGGAAAGATGAAGCAATGAGCCTGAGATGGTTTCAAGATTCAGCCTGGACCTCTGTGCTATGCTCCTGCTCCAGTGAAAACTGGGAGAGCAAAGGCTATGTGGCAGGCGGAAACCCAAGGGCTGCATTTACATCTCTTGCAATTCAACCACTCAGAGCAGGATAGATGCAGAATTAGAGAAGAAAGGGGAAATTAAAGGAGATGAAAACTTGGGTCAAAAATAGGAACAAATGAGAAAAAATTCCTTAATTTACACCTTTAAACATAAGCTTCTGGTACTCTCCTTGCTTATGCTAGATAGATTTTAGATGAAGGTGATGAGAAAAGGTCAGGGATTTAAATTCTAACTTCATTCATTTGAAATCTGGCTCTGCAACCTGGGCTCTGATCTTGCCTCACCTCACCTCATCACTTCCTGATGGAGCCGTGGTCTTTCCACTGAGGACAGCTTCCTTGGATGGCCCTGTTAGGAGATGGGAGAGACATTTCTGCTCCCACTCCATCTTCCAGGCACCCACCCTTCAAGGGCTGTGAGAAAGATATTTCACCTCAGTGTCTCTATCCTCCTCACCCTTCTACCTACATCGCAGCAATGGGAGATAAATGGGTCCTACCCGGTGTAGCTGATAACTAGCTTGCCTTCAATATATGTTAGGGAAGGCTATGATTATCTTCATTATCAGAACCTCTTACTACTCAGTTTCCTTTCCTCCTGATAAGATCCTCTACATCTTTCCCCTCCAACCACTACTCCCCCTTCTCAGCATTCTTAGAGTTTATATTGAAGCATCATGGAAATCATCTCTTTTCTTACAGTCTTCCAGACGGTAACAAGGTATACATTCATTTACATTTCAAAAGGCATCTTTCAACTTCAGCTCTCAAAATATTTAAGACCTAGTTTAGTTTCCTTCCTTCCCTCCTTCCTTCCTTCCTTCCTTCCTTCTTTCCTTCCTTCCTTCCTTCCTTCCTTCCTTCCTTCCTTCCTTCCTTCCTTCCTTCCCTCCCTCCTCCTTCCCTCCCTCCCTTCCTTCCTTCTTTCTTTCTTCTTTCTTTTTTTTTCTTTTTTTATCCAAGTCACATGGAATATCTACTCATCATAATGTCCTTGAGGAAGAGCATTTTCTTTCTCCCCTCTTGTATCCTGGATTTTTGCTACCGCTACGCTGGAGGCCACCAGTGTTTCAGTCCTTCTCCTTTTTAGTTCATACAGCTTCTCTTGCCCCACCTTCCTCTGAGTTCTCTCCTGCCACCTGAGAGCCAGCTCAAGCCCATTAGACAAAACGTGTGATGAGTTCTGTCAAGTCACTCTTGCTTCACTTGAACCCTCAATAATGATGCCCTTAGTTGGTATTTCCTGGGCTTGTGTATACTCAGTCTATACCAGCAGGTCATTGACTCACATATTACTCTATGAATGCCATATTTTGCATATGTTTATGACATTCAAGAATCAAATGTTAGATTCATGAATCATATAACAAAAACAGCCTGAATTGACTCAAAGAGAAATTTTATTATAAGTGTGAGCAATGGAAATGGGACAGTTAGGGTCTCTCAGTTTCATTTTTTCTCCATTCTTTCACCATTCTTCTATAAAAATTGAATGTAAGAATTCATTTTAGGGTCCTACAAAGTGTCCTCTTCTTTCTTTTTACTCTACATGGTGGATTTACAAATTCTTTCAGAGAACATTCATTGAAATACATTCAAGGCAGTGTACTAGATACTGTGAGAAATATTGTAAAACCTCAACTGTGACCATAAGTAATGAAACCAATTCCACAAACCACATGTCAAAATTAGTCTTATTACTTCACAATCATACTATGTTCTAGCCACATCCTACCCTCCAAGAAGAAACAATTCAGATGATAGAAATAATCTATATTTTTCACAATAATAGCCATACTACCAAGAATTACAAAGAATCAAATGCTAGGGACTGAAGTACTCACTCAAGGAAGTATTTTAAAAAGCCATTTGCGATACGTGTCAAGAGCCTTAAAAATATTCCCTTTCTCAACCAGTGTTCCTCCTCTAAATCCCAGAACACAGAAAATGATTCGAGTGGCTGTTTTCTCAGTTCTCCCAAGGATGGCACTTGAGTAGTCCCACTCTAGATGAGAGGAATAACAACTCGTTACATACAATGGACGCCTCAGGACAGTAGGGCTTCATTCTTTCCTAGGACTCTGTTGAAAAAGGTAATTTCCTTTCTCTAAATCTGTCTTGAGGAAATAGCTGACAAACCAGACACAGATTTCTATTTGAAACAAAAGTAAAAGTCAGGAAACATTGCAAATGTCCAACATTAAAGGGATGACTGAATGAATCACCACACGGCTGCACAATGGACGATTATGAAATAATTAAAGCGGTATTTTCAGAGACTAATGACACGGGAAACTGTTCACATGTATGGTTAAATGGAAAAACCAGAATTTCAAATTTGAATAATTTGATAGACAACTGGAAGATAAAATCGTACATATACACATACCTAGACTGAAATATATCAATATGTTAATAGCAGTCACCTCTGGGTGGAAGAATTATGATTTTAAAAATGTATTTTTTGTGGGCCTTTGTGGCCCTAGGACAATGTCTCAGAGCACCTGGGGTGCTTGTTAAAAGTCAGATTCCTGAGCGCTTCCCTAGACCTGGGAGCCTCTAAATCAATCAGAGCCTCTGAATGATTATAAAGAGGGGTCTAGGTATTCTAAAGTTTGAGAGTTCCTGCGCTAGAAAGAGCATATTTCTTTTATCTATTCTATGACAGTCATTTAAATGAAAACAAAATCCCTTTGACCTCTTCCTGTAGTACCAGCCCAAAGGCTAGGACAGTGAGAACTGGAAGGAATGAATGAAGAACATAAATTGTCATGATGCTTGGGTCCCAAACAGGCTCTAAATCTGCTGAAATCTGAATCTTTCTGGATAACTCCTTGACCACACTTTCTTCATATGTACTATTGTGGAACTTCAAGAGGACAGTTTGAGGTCCTCCAGAGTATCTGGCTTCTCTACCACTTATTTTATGTAAAAAGAACAAGATAATAGAAAGCAACAAATCATTAAATGAGTTATGGATCTCTCCTTTGCACAGTGGAATTTATTTCCTCCTCTTTTTATGAACAAACATAGATAATTTTAATGATTTCCCTGAAATGTAATTAAAATCTGTTAAGCATTACCATGTCACTAAGGGACACTGGTTATTCTAGTCTCAGATTGATGCTAGTGGTTCAGCACTTGTCAAAGTAAAGAAACACCTGTCCACTAGGGATGCAATATGTTCTAAAACGTGGCTTTTATTTTCTCTTGTCTTTTACTCATAGGCTAAAACAGAAGAGCTGCTTTCTAGATCTTTTTCTATAGGGTAAGGACTTCTTTTTGAAGATTGTCACATAGGAGATCCAAACAACTGAGCAGAATTTGTTTTACATATTTCTTATGAGGCATATCGATTCTGCCCTTTAAGAAGCAAAACATTTGATAGGCTGTTCTGTGTCTTTAATCCTTTGTCTGGGAGGCAGAAGGGCAGACAGACACATTCAAATGAGTGGTGCCTCCAATTTTGTGAAAGCCTCAGGGGACTGCCAGCATAAACAAATCCATTTGACTCCCATTGACGTATGAAAATTGGGCAGCTTCAGAGGCAACTAAGAAGACTGCCATGGGGGCAAGGTTCCAGGCTTCCAATCCAAATGTCAGGACACTTGGTACAAAATCTAAAGTTGCATGTGATTGGCACAGATGTTCATAGTTACTGCCTGAACCTGTTACTACTTTCATTTACAAGCAGTGTTCAAATGACTATATACCAAAAATCAAAATGTGGTATATACATACCATGGAATATTATTCAGCCAAAAAGGAAGGGAATTCTGGCACATCCTACAACATGGATGAACCTTGCAGACATTATGCTAAGTGAAATAGCCAGATGCAAAAGAACAAGTAGTGTATGATTCCTCTTGTAAGAGGTACCAAGAGAAGTTAAATTCATAGAGACAGAAGGTAGAATGGTGGTTGCCAGAGTAGGCAGAGTGTAGGAAATAAGTTGTTTCATGGGTACGTTTACTTTTGCAAGATGAAAAAAGTTCTAGAGATGAATTATGGTGATGGTTGCACAATAATGTGAATGCATTTAATGACACTGAAATAGATGCCTAAAGTGGATAAAATGGCGTGTCACATTATGTAAATTTTACCATAATTAAAAGTATAAAGAAATTTAAAATAATTTTAATCACCATATACCATAAATGAATTAACAACACAGGGATATAGAAGAATACTATACTGGATCAGGCCAGTGGGCTCCTGTAGGAATGCCAAAAGGTGAGCAAAGGAGAACCCAGTGATCTTTGTGACTCTCCATTCTCACCTCTTGCACTGCCAAGGGCCTTGAGACATACCCATCTTTCTTCTTCCCTATGGTCGTGTTACCCACCAATTTGCCTAACACCTTGTTCATGAAAGATGATTGCTGGTGATCTCTGTGGGATGGAGGAGTTGGTATGGTGGTTATAAGAGCAACCGAGCTGGCCTTCTCTGGATAAAAGGATGAATGCCCAGGCCTTGTTTGTTTTTTCTCTTTCTTTTCTTTCTTTTTTTTTTATTTGAGATGGAGTCTCACTTTGTTGCCCAGGCTGGAGTGCAGTGGCATGATCTCAGCTCACTGCAACCTCCACCTCTCAGGTCCAAGGGATTCTCCTGCCTCAGCCTCCTGAGTAGCTGGGACGACAGGCACGTGCCACTACACATGGCTAATTTTTGTATTTTTAGTAGAGATGGGGTTTCGCCATGTTGGGCAGGCTGGCCTTGAACTCCTGACCTCGGGTGGTCCATCCGCCTCGGCCTCCCAAAGTACTGAGATTACAGGCATGAGCTACTGCGCCTAGCCAGGCCTTGTTTTTACACATGCACACACACACACAAAAAGATGGGAAGAATTTTGTCTTGGATACCTGCCATCGCCATTAAAACCCAGACTCCCCTGGGCACATACCCAGCAGCCTTATGCTGCCCCCACATGGCCTTGGAATCTCCCTTGGTACTCTGCCTGACCCGGTCTTCTATAACAATGCTTAGTTGCTAAACCTTTCTGCCCTCTCTAAAAACCACCAGTCAGCAACTCAATTGGCAGGGATCTAATAAGTAACATTTTAAAATGTGTGTGTGTGTGTGTGTGTGTGTGTATATATATATTTTTTAATTTAATTTAATTTTTTTTGAGACAGAGTTTCACTCTTCTCGCCCAGGCTGGAGTGCGGTGGTGTGATCTCGGCTCACTGCAACCTCCACCTCCTGGGTTCAAGCGATTCTCCTGCCTCAGCCTCCTGAGTAGCTGGGATTATAGGCACACGCCACCACACCTGGCTAATTTTTGTATTTTTAGTAGAGATAAGGTTTCACCATGTTGGCTGGGCTGGTCTCAAACTCCTGACCTCAGGTGATCCACCTCGGTCTCCCAAAGTGCTGGGATTACAGGCGTGAGCCACTGCGGCTGGCCTCTAAAATGTTAATAGCTAACAAGGCAAATGTGATTCCTCTCACTTTGTTATTTACCCTTCCTACCTAAAAGTTGTAAGTCTAATAATGAAACTTCTATCATCTCACACAAAATAAAGAGGCTATGTGCCTACCTGCAAACAGTGGACTCTGACTCCCAGGCCTAATTTTAGGTAGAATTATGAATTGGTCAGGCTTTGGGATTATTCTCTTGTCAAATAATCTCCTTATACAGAGAATTTGTGGCTTGTCATTCTCTTCCCTGCAGAGACTAACAGAATGCCTGGAATGTACTATAAACAATTCTAAAACTATTGAGTGTCTCAATGCATTTCCAAGACATGGATATGGGCTTTCCCGGGCTTCATTCTCTAGAATTCATAGATGTGTCTCAAATGCTTCCATTTCTTCTTTTCTCCCTCTTCCTTGTAAACTTAGGTAACCCACAGCATCTGCCTATATCCCTTTTGGGTCAAAAGAGCCTGGGGAAAGTGTGTGAGTTAAATCACTCTTAAAGGAGTGATTTAAGATACCAAGACACAGTTCTCTCCTGGAAATCTCCCTCCACTGTGGTTTGGATATGACAGAGTCAAGAGGCTAATCATGAGACTTTGCTCAGTCTGTCTTCAGGTGTGTCAGTATTTGATAAGTGACTTCCGTTTTGCATAACAACCGGCTGATCTTACCCCAATTTTCATTCTTTTCAGAGCATTCTGGAGCTGGAGAAGGAAAGAATTCAACTTTTATGCAATAACTTAAACCAGTACAGCCAACATATTTCTCTTTTTGGCCAAACCCTGACCACAGTGAGTAGAGATGATCTCTCCATTTCTGGTATGCCTGGTAAGAAGGGGCAGAAACCTTTCTTCGACAACCTTATTCTGCTCCCCTTGGCATTGCAGTGCCACACGCAGATTCACTGTGCCATCAGCAAGATTGACATTGAAAAAGATATCCAGGCTGTAATGGAAGAAACTGCAATTTTATCTACAGAAAACAAATCTGAGTTCCTGTTAACAGATTACTTTGTAAGTATGAAATGGAAAAAAATAAGTTACATTAATGAAGAATCTTAGGTACTGAGGGACTTATATGGAAAAAATTGAAAGCAAATACCATGTTTTATAAATGAAAATGATTTCTCATAGCCCATATAAATAAAAACACCCAGCGTTCTAGTTTACAAACTGGGCGATGGAAACATGTCTTTGGTATTTTCTAGAAGGAAAGAAAGTCAAGCAGGGTTTTAAACAGAATCTTCATATTCGGTCTTCTATAAAAGTATTGCCAGGTAGATATGTTTCAATGACCTATAATTAATCACTGTATATCACGTGGTGCTTAAATTCATTGTCTGCACAAATTGCTGTGCGACAAATCACCACCCCCCGCCACCGCCTCCCCCTGCCAAAATAATGGCTTAAAACAAACATGTATTATCTCATAGTTTGTGGGTCAAGAATTCAGTTGTCTTAGCCAGGTGTCTCTGAGCCCCTCCCAAGGCTGCAATCAAGGTGTCAGGCTGGGCTGCAGACACCTCCAGGCTCTTCCTGCAGAAGATTCACTTCCAAGCTGACTCACAGGGCTGTTGGCAAGCCTCCGGTCCTCACTGCTGTTGGTTGGAGATACCATTTTCTTGCCACATGGGTCTTTCCATGTCTCAGCCTGCTCCCCGCAGAATAAGTGATCAAGATAGAGCCAGAGTGCCCAATAAATTATAATCTTTCGTGAGCTAATCTCAGAAGTGACATCTCATCATATTCTATTTGTTAGAAGCAAGTCACTAAGTGCAGCCCATACTCAAAGGTGGGTGTGAGGGGAGATCACCCAAAGGCATGGGTTCTAGGAAGTGGGAGTCACTGTCAGTATTTTTCATGGTCCCTTCCCTTGAAAACCTTGGACCAGATAACCGGAGGCTTATTTTGAGGGCATTTGAGTGATTCTACTGTAGGTGTTTTGGCTGAAAACTAGTCAGTGTCCCTGGTGAGAGCCTAAGCATGTTGCCTCTTTGCTATCTTGGGCAAATTATTTGTTCTTCTGGGTCAAGCCTCAAAGATTTTGGCCTCTGCTCCCCTCTTGATATTCTTAATTGTAGTGTTCTAGGAACTGATTATTAATTACCAAAATCTGCAGAAAGAATTCCTGATAGCGTTTCCCTGGGTCCTCTGCCATATTTTATTCAGGATTTCAAGCTCCAGATTAGGGGTGTCACTCTTCTCTGATACGGAGAACAAGCCCACTGATTATGTTCTCCATAGGGTTAGAAGTACAGCCAAAGCTGACCTTCCTAGACCTCTGATCAGGCAACAAGAGATGAGGGTAGAAGGGAGAGGCGGTTAGATCAGGCACAGCAGTAAATCCTGACTGGCTTTCCCTTTCCCTACCCTTCAGAGAGCAGCAAATGACCAGCTACTTTTTATTGAGTCTTTTTTTTCCTACCCTGGCAAAGGAGAAATATATTAGCAATATCAATGTCTGTTCAATGCAGAAACAAGGTAGAAATGGAAGTGGAAATGATTTGATTACAATGGGGAAAGCTCTTTTTTTCTTCCAAATAATGTAGGCAGGGCCTGAGATGGAAAAATGTACAATAAAATAAATCTACTATTTTCTTCCAAAGAATAATAAAAATGCCCCTATCAAATAACTTGTCAGTAAAATGAAGATTATTCTCCTTGAAAATTTGACTAGGGTTCTACCAAAGTGGCAGCCATGATGACTTCTCATTTATTGGCATGTTCAGGGAAATTTTTGGTTTCTATAAAACTTCACTGTGTCAGAACTCACAACCATGTATCTGTCGTCCAAGAGAAAGGACTGTGTCTCAAAATGAGTGAATAGTATTTTCTTGACATCTTTAAGGCAAAGTACCCCCGTGTCTGACTTTATAGTCATTGTAAGTGTAGGTTGGTTTTTATCCAGTGTTACGAAATTTACATGGACCAGGGACAACAAAGAGACCAATCTGAGTGCAACACTTGGAGGGCTGGTGACCTGGTGAAAATACTTGTAAGGTTACCATAAATGCCGTTCAAAAGATGGTATCTGTAATTTTATATGCCTCCTCCAGTACTGACCTTCTTCCTAACAAATCTTTAGAAGAGAAGGACAAATGTGAGAGTTGAATGATGGCAATATACCCCATCCTGAAACTGACCCAGGAACAATCTATACCTGGAAATACATGTTTAAGCAAAAGATGTCCCCAAACAAACCAAGAGAAGCCTTGGACTGGTACGGGAGCTATGTGATGACTAACATTCCTTCAACAGGGAAGGACTAATGGTTTTAGTTAGGCATCTTAGCAGTTCAGTCAGAGTTTACTAGGGGGTGTGATGTCAGCTTGCGCCTCAGCTGTAGGCTGACATGTGAAACGGTGGTAGAGAATTTGGGGTCAGCTTGGGCCTTCTTTTATTTATCTGTGTCATGGGTAAAATGAGGAAAATAAAACCAACCATTGAGTTGTAGGAGTTGCATATAATAAATAATATAAAGAAACTTTTATTTATTTATTTAATTATTTTGAGATGGAGTCTCGCTCTGTGGCCCAGGTTGGAGTGCAGTGGCATAATGTCAGCTCACTGCAACCTCTGCTTCCTGGGTTCAAGTGATTCTCCGGCCCCAGCCTCCCAAGTAGCTGTGATTACAGGTGCACACCACCACACCCAGCTAATTTTTTGTATTTTTAGTAGATACAGGGTTTCACCATGTTGGCCAGGCTGGTCTCGAACTCCTGACCTCAAGCAGTCCACCCACCTTGGCCTCCCAAAGTGCTGGGATTACAGGTGGGAACCACCGCACCTGGCCTAGAAAATAGAGAAACTTTTGTAATGTGCAATGCAAAATATGTAAATAAAATATTTTTATCTGTATATGTTTTTATAGAGGCTATTCCCTTTGCTCTAAATCCTCACACTTCTTGTTTGTGAAGCTCCATCTAAAGGTAATCTCTCAGCCAGGATCCTAATTTTTCTCCTTCCTTGTCAGAGAAGCCGGCATCCTCCCCTCCCACCTTGAGTCATTAGTTTCCCCTCTTTCTCCATAGGTTTCTGTCCCTCTGCCACACTCATGTTTAGCAACCTCCTCACTCCAACCCTACCATCCTATTCCTTTTTTTTTATTCAATCCTTGAAATTAGCATGTGAAAGCTCAGCTATCATGAATGATTCCTCATAGCCTATGTGATAAAATTCCTACATCAGCCCTAAAATCTAGCCTTAACTCCCTGAACAATTTTTTCTTCCACTATTTTTTTGCTCATGCAACAGGTGTCCTTATTGTTCCTGACACATTTCCCACAGTCCTCCCTCAGCCCTTTGCTCTCGCCATTTCTCCTGTCTGGAGTGCCCTTTGCCATCTTTCCTTGACTAGACAGTTAACATCTTCTTGCCTCCTTGAAGCCGTCAGCTGCCTCCACTTGTGGTGTCTGTACCATTCGTGAATGCATGTGGTCTTGTATTGCTAGTTTCTTTCATGTCATGCTTCAAGGCCTAACTAAATCATAAACCCATTCTGGGCAGAGCGTATGTGTTTTAGCTCACATCTTCCCAGTACTGAGCCAACACAGAACTCAGTCAAAATGTCTTCCACTCCTGAGGCAGTCATAGCCCGAAGCACATACATGATATTACATTTGGGCCATTAAAGGACTCTAACTTGAACAAAGGTAAATAAGGAAGCAGTAAGTATACAACAAATACATTTATCAAGAAAATGAAATAACTGTAGCAAGGGTCCATCCTCAAAGAATAATTTGCTGTATTAAAAAGTGCTCGGCCATGTGATTTACAAGTTGTGAACAAGGAGGTATTTTCTTATCCATCAGGTCTAGAACAGGTAGAACGATGTATGTAAAACTGAAGATTATCCTGCTTAAATTTTTTTTTTTTTGTAAAGTTAAAATTAAATGCAGCCAGTGGAAGTCTCAGTATGGACAGGGAATAGCAACTCTTACTTCTTCCCCTTGTTAGACATCCTTCTTTTTTCCTAAAGGAAGAAGATCCTAACAGTGCAATGGATAAAGAGAGACGAAAGTCTTTAATAAAACCAAAATTATTGAGACTGCAGAGAGACATTGAAAAAGCCTCAAAAGACAAGGAAGGTGTGTAACCATCTCTTTGAATGGCCAGAAAAAGGACCATATTATGCTCAGAGGTTTCATTCGGAGTTAGGATTAATCTGCTTTTGCTATTTGGCAGGGGTCATCTCATTTAAAGAACCATATATCAAACTTAAATTGTGTGAATAAAAAAAAAAGAAGAAGAAAGCCAAAAAAAAAAAAGGAAAATCACATTTTGGTCTATTTATGAAACCTATATAAGTATTATACTACTATTTTCAGAAATGTAGCATTTTAACTGTGTTTCTGAAATTGGCTAGAATGAGAAATAATGTTTGGTTTAGAACATGGTAAACCAGCTGTGCACAAGAGTTTTGGAGGATTTTTTTGGTTTGTTTCTTTTGACTTTTGAAACAATGTAAAAATCATTCAAATTAAATTCTGTACGTAGAAGTTAGGCATATTAGAATGTGAAGCAGCTCTAAAGCAACATGGATGACAAAAATGACTCCACATTCGTGGATCTGATGTCTACACAGTAGCTTGTTTTATATGGATCACAATAACTCATTGCAATGGAATACTAGAGAGCAAATTCAAGATAGAAAATATTTAGTGATGTGAATACCATAATGAGGAAGAAGCCAACATTGTGTAAATGTTAGCAATAGCTAGAATGGGTCAACTGAAAGAAATTCAAAGTCTCATCTGGAAACATAACAATCAAGATGCTTTAAGCACCAGCATTTCTCAAATTTCATTAAGTGAAGAGAAAGGTAAACGAACAGTTCATTTATCATTCAGTCAGATTTATTAAGAACTACCTGCAGAGACTCCCTCAGCCATTTAAGAAATCCTACTGGTGGCTGGGTGCTGTGGCTCATGCCTATAATCCTAACACTTTGGGAAGCCAAGGCGGGTGGATCACAAGGTCAGGTGTTGGAGACCAGCTTGGCCAACATGATGAAACTGTGTCTCTACTAAAAGTATAAAAATTAGCTGGACATGATGGCACACACTTGTAATTCCAGCTACTCAAGAGGCTGAGGGACGAGAACTGCTTGAACCTGGGAGGCAGAGGTTGCAGTGAACCAAGATCATGCCACTGCACTCTAGCTTGGGTGACAGAGCAAGACTCCGTCTTAAAAAAAAAAAAAAAATCACTGGTATCACTCCTAGGCTTCCTTTGAGAGTGACTAACTCCCAGCTGTGTCCCACTGAGACAGTGTGAAAGGTGACTGAGAACATTATTTCATTTTCAGGCCTGGAACGAATGCTTAAAACATACTCCAGCAACTCCTCCTTCTCTGATGCAAAGAGCCAGAAAGACACAGCAGCGTTAATGGATGAGGTAAATGTTTGCAGAGTGCAGTTTCCTAGATTTAGTGATGAAAGGGTTATTTTTAGAATACTTGTTTCTGGTCTGCTTGGCCTTGTTTGCCTTTCCTTTCTCATGACATAGAACAATCTAGTGGGAGAGCTTATAAGGTCAGCTTCATAAGTCATTTGAGGGATCTGGAAAAATCCAACTACCTAGAAATGTTTGCTTTGGTGTCCTAGGAAGTGTGTCTAAAATAGTATTCTCTAAAACAGTCATTCTTTAAGGGCCTAGAAAACATATGCACTTTAACCCAGTTAAGAAAAGTGACAGGAAATACAGGATCTGCATTCAGAAAGGCCTGTATTTAGATTTAGCTCTGCTGTTTACAGGGACCTGGGGCAACTTTAGTGTTCTCATCTGCAAAATGGGGATATTGGTACTAACCTCATGGGGTTTTTATGAGGGTGAAATATTATTTAGTAAATGCTAGCACAATGCTCACAGGAGGAGCTGAAAAACTAGTAATTTTTATTAAGACGGTATTTTCCATTCATCCCTCTGCTGATCTCAGTTATCGGAGAATAACAGGAGAAAGGAAAGACGTGGCTGCACAGAGGGAAGAGGGCTGTCTGGGGTGTGAGGCAAAATCTTGGGAAACCAGGAGCAACTTTGGAGGCGAAGTTCTTTGAGGGTGGGAATTGGGGTGGGGAGATGGTAGAAGAGGCAGGGAGGTGGGCCTCCTGGCCTTTGTGCTGAGTGTGTGAACTCTAGCCCCAAAGACATTCGTGGGGACTGATGGACATTTTGGCCACTTCAGAGGAACCCACATGAAAGGGGTAGTTAACAAAAAGCTGATGAATTTTACATAGGAATAAAAATGAACAGATATATAGCACCAGTGTGCAACATATGGGTTTCTGCTGTGATTAGAGATCAGGAGTGGACTGGGGTTAATCTGAGACTCATTTAAGGAGATAAATTTTTTAGCAATGTTTTGAAGGATACAGGAATCTGGGTGTTTTCTTTTTCTTGCTTATAGCCTAACTTTCTTGGGAATGTAGGTACCTGATAATTGTACCCAGATTGGCAATTTCAATAGTTCTTTGGTGAAAGAAGACAGATGCAGTGAGGTATCGCTGACCTAATGTTTAGATAGGCTTTCTTGAGTAGGGTGCTGTTGCAGAGACAAGCCTGACACTTCTTAGGAAAAGAAAGGCCTGCATTGTGTGCACTTGGGAACAGAGGTCTAACATACCTGCAATGACCTGTGGCTACAATTTTTATGAAATTATAAAACAGACTGTAGGACATTTTCTGTGACCGCACAAACTGTTAACTATTCAATGCAAATAACATGTGCCAAAATAAAGTCATAAAAAGCATTTCATGATGCCATTGGGTTATACATTTATTCCTTTGGCTGTCCTTGCACAGAATTTTGTCATTGTCATTACCAGCATACGTGTATTAGGGTCATCTGGGTCCTCTTGCCTGAAGCATACAGTGGAGGACAAAAGGAGGGAGAGGATCTGACCCCGGAACTTCTGGTGTTTATGATCCGGTGAAGGAGCAACTGTGAACCTTTAAGTGATGACTGCCAAATATCCGCATGATTTCATTACGCATGCTCTGCATCTGGGTAGACAGAAACTAGTGATACTGGTAGATTTTGTGTCACCCAGGGAAGGTTTCTAGGATGAGGAAACTTTTATTTAAATTCTTCCTTATTTCAGTGTATCTTGGTCCTTGAAGTGCCATATTTGAATCAAGAATGTTCACAAGCAATGTCAGAGGAGAAATTGTTGAGAAAATTGGAGACACTTAGATTAAATACTGTCTTTAGATACCAGAAAGAGGGCCACATACAAGAGGAACTAGATGTGCTCTATGAGACTATCAAGTGAAGGTCTAAATAGAAGGCATGGGGGAGCTTTTAGTTTTGTCTTAGGTAAGCCTGCACCACAATGTAGTGGATTCCTCCAACGATTAGAGACCTTCTCCATCAATTGGATGTCTTCTGTCCATGGTTGTGACACCCTGGCAGGGATATTAGGGTTAAGGAATTCCCATGCTGGAGGTGTAGGGGAGAGAGGGATAATGGTGATGAGGGGGCTGGATAAGCAGGACCCTTCCAATGCTTAGATTCTGTTATTTAATTCACTTTGGCTGGACCCAGCCTGACAGGGTAATTATAAAGTTTCTAGTTCAAGGTCAAATCAAGAACAGACAGAGACTAGGAGTGTATCTTTAGCTTGATTTATTATTTTTATACTCAAATACCCTAGAATATTGTTCCCAGTTTCCAGAAGTATTCCTGTAAACTTTGTGGGTAATATGAGACCTCACCTTCTCAAAGAACAAACGAACTTCACATTCAATTTCATTTGATTCTATTGATGTTAACTCAATTCTCTTCACAATATTGAGCACTGATGGCTCACTTTCTTCATAGACCACCAAAAATCTACCTTCTATAATCAACACTTATTCCCTTTCTCATCCCTCAGCAGAAAATTGAGTAAAAGCTCTTCATTGCCATAAAATACTATTACCAAGGTTTCCTGTTTACCCCAGAGTACAGAGTGAGACACACTCAACAACTAAAACCACCCTCTAGACTGCTTAAAGAGTTTATTCCCCCATTTTTTTTCCTTCGGCATTTTCTATGAATATCTGTATGAGTTAAATGCGTACTTTTCTAACCTTTGTTATTTTGAAAGTTATTCTGATACTCCTGTACAGTTGTGCCTCATTTACTAGAAATTTGCTCACATGGCCAAATGATGTATCCACAGAACAATCTGAAACTAGACCTTTTGGAAGCGAACTCCTACAAACTGTCATCAGTGTTAGCAGAACTTGAGCAAAGACCTCAACCCAGCCATCCTTGCAGTAACTCCATCTTCAGGTGGAGGGAAAAGGTAACATTCAAGGAGACTGGTTGTAAGTTCTTGATGAGACTGGTTGTAAGTTCTTGATTGGGCCTGCTGGGTGGAGTGGCTTAAAGTAGCATCAGGGCAAAAAAGATATTAGGAATTCTATGTGATATTAATATTCATACACTTAATAAGATAAATGTTTTTATTTCTTTTGAGCACAACAAGAGCTAGACACAACCGAATACACTCTGTGTACACCAAACTTCTATGAGGAGCTAAAAAACACTTTCAATGTCTTCTGGCTCATCATACCTGAATTTTATCCTTTGGATGTGCTTTTACAGTAAAATTTCTATTAAATTGTATTAGTCTCATCTGTTTAACATGGTGCCTAATGCAGATAATGCATCAGTACAGCTCTGAAATTCACATACACCTATTTTCCTAGTGCTGCACTCCAGGAGTGGATGAGCAGGTGAACGTACATGGCAGCTATTGCTTGTGGTTACTGATCAGAAGGGGGAGCCGTAATCATCTTGTGAAGGGACGGTTTTCTAAGAGGCTCAAGAGCTCAAAAACAATCTCAGTCATTTAGAGGGTTGTGATCATTTCACTTGCATTAAGCCAACTAAAGTTGTATTTGTAAAAGTAATGTTATGAATGTTACTATTTGACCTAGACACACAGGTTAGAATTGGAGACACAGGCTATAAAGTACAGTAATTGTTTAATTTTGAAAATATTAAGGCTTCAACTCAAAACTGAAACACAGTAGGGCTTAGAAATCTATTGAATTATTTATACCCCTCAGTTTAAAAACTTCCAGTCCAGGCGCAGTGGCTCATGCCTATAATCCCAGCACTTTAGGAGGCCGAGGTAGGCAGATCACCTGAGGTCAGGAGTTCCAGACCAGCCTGGCTGACATGGTGAAACCTGTCTCTATTAAAAATACAAAAATTAGTCAGGCATGGTGGTGGGCACCTGTAATCCCAGCTACCAGGGAGGCTGAGGCAGGAGAATCACTTGAACCCAGGTGGTGGAGGTTGTAGTGAGCTGAGATCATGCCACTGTACTCCAGCCTGGGTGACAGGGCAAGACTCTGTCTAAAAAAAAAAAAAAAAAAATCTTGAGGAAAACAGCTACAGAAGAGTTAATTTTCATGAATGTTTGTGATAATCGTGTTATAAAATATGACTTTTTATACCATTTGAACAGGAGCATACTCACAGCTATGTGAAAATATCTCGGCCTTTTTTAATGAAGAGATTAGAGAGTATTGTGAGCAAAGCATCTTCTGGTGGGCAGAGCAATCCAAGTTCTTCAACTCCAGGTAATCCCATGCCCACAATCCTTTTGGCCTGGGTCCTACTGGCAGGGCACATTGCTACATTTAAACTTTATTTTCAGAGCCACTTTGACCTGTATCTGCTTAAGGAAATTTATATTTCCATCGGGACTGATTAATTTGTTAGACTCTGTAGCTTTATGTAAAAATGGGAGAAGTTAAGAAGAGTAGAGGGTTGGGAAAGTATTTTATAATATGAGAAGTTGCCTGAGATATCAGATGGCTGGCATCCACCTTATTCAAATGGCCTGTTATTTGCCATCCACATAATCACACTTAAACCATTGTGAGGAGCTTTGTCACTCTGTCTCCATAGCCTCCTCCAAACTTCCATAAGAAGCCTGTCCTCTCTGTGAGACACATAGTGATCCAGGTGGTTTGCCAGGGCTTGGACTCATGGCCTACAAACCCCCATTAGCAGTCATCTTACTTCAGTCGTTCGTGCACCCACACACCACACTGCTCTTCATCTTTCAGCATACACACACATGTCACTGTCCCTGCATGTTCAAGTATAATTACCATAATCTTGACTATCTAGTTTTTTAAATTAGAAATTGGTTAAAAAAAAAGAACTTCAGTAAAACCAGGACATTATGGTTCACATGATGTATTAAGGAGTCACCGCTGCATTGTTTGAGAAACAGTTCCATACACAGCTAGGGATGATAACATGCACATGCCCCAAATATCCCCTATTTATATCTGAATGGCAAAACTGGTGAATGTTTTCCAAAACATGCATGCAATGTTTTTCTCTAGACTTACTATTTCATGTATTATAATATAATTTTTGATTATATAACATATGCAGTCCATACATATAGAAAGTGCATCATAAATGGTTTTTAAATCAAGGAATGAAATTATGTAAAATTACAAACTTTCCTTTTGAGAAAAATTTAATATATTGAAACTCTGCACCACACTGTTAAATAACCAAAGAGCTTCAGCTCATATTCATTTGCCTGCTAACACAGCATAGTAATTACAGCTTAATCTATTTCAGTCCCTGGTGCAGCCCAGCTCAGCAGCAGACTTTGCAAGGCCTTATATTCTTTTCAAGCCAGGCAAGATGATGAGTTGAATTTGGAAAAGGGTAAGAATCATTCTCAAATATTTTAATTGCCTTCCCATATTGAGATTCTTAGCATGAATAAAACCCTGTCTTAGTGTGGCAGCCTTAAGAGTTACTACCATGTCAAATCAGTTCACCCTTCTTGAAAGATAAGCACATCTAAAACAAAAGCTCGCATAATGATAATAGCTAACACTTATTCTGTTTTCTATGTGCCAGACATTGTTGCAGGCATATTGTCCAATTTAATATTAATGAAACCCTTGGAGGGTTTTATTGGTTATTCCCATTTCATAGCAGAGGAGACTGACACACAGAAAGGTTAGGTGCTTTGGCTAATGCCACAGGCTGTGGCAGCGCAGGATTTGAACTTGGAAACACAGCCATACTCCTAATCACAATGCACACTGGGGTAGAATGTCAGTAATGGAAAGTGATTAGAGGTGTACCCCACCTTTTTATTTTTTAGAAGCTAGACATGCAGGAATGTGAAGTGACTTCCTCTCTCAACTTAGTGAAAGTGCAAATTCTAGAACCTGGGTCAGCTGACTCCCAGCTTAGTGCTGGTCTCACTTCTCAGAAAAGCTTTTTATGTCCAGTCTAAAGAGTAAGACCCCCTTCTTTGTGTCACAGAGTTTTACTTAACATGGAAAGGTGTTATATAGTGGCTTTATAATATAAACCACAACATTATTAAAGAAAAAAGTCTCCAGCCTCAACCTTCATTATGTGTCCAGTTAGAAACCACGTTTGGATGTTAGTGCTAAGACAGAGATCTGGAAACGGAAGGGTTAGTGAGAAAGAGTAACGCTGTGGGAGAAAGTATATTATCCAAAACAAGAACACGGCTCCCAGAGCCAGTGGAAAATCAAGATACATTTTGTAGCCAAACGACAAGGACACCGCACATTTGCTATTTATTGGGTGTTTCCTTTGCAGCATTTGCCAGTCATCTCTCCCCAGGCAATTACTTTTCTTCCTATGTGAATAAAAGACATACTTCCCAGATGCCACCTAGAACCCATGGATGCTGCATTTGAGTTATATCATTCACAATAAATTGATTATCTTGTTTTCAGTTCTCTGCTGGTTGCAAAGCCTGCTTACACTTTATATTCTAAGTAGTTTCTTTCAATGAAACACGACATTGGAGGCTTAGGAAAGCTGGCGATACAATTTGAAATCATTTGTTGGAATTCTTGTTAATAGATTATGTCAATTTACTGACCTGAGAGAACCCATTAAAGGCAGAACTTAGAGACTGAGAATGATCTCCTTTAAGAATAGCGATTTATGACTAAGAAAAGACAGAAAAGGAGTTAATAGTCTCCTTTGTCTTAGAAAGAGAATTGCTGAGTAAGAGTGAAGGGAAGACTGAAAAATCACCTCAGAATGACGCTAAAGAAAAAGAAGCTCTTGGATCCTGAAGGGGGCAGATCTTTCTACTTTTATGACAAGAGCCATGTCTCTTGTCCAATTTGCTATGGAATTCTCTTTATTTGAATCATTGCTTTAAAAAATATTGTCTCCAAATTGATGTTGTATTAAAGTTGGCTAAGTTGTTGAACGGGGAGTTACATTTCTATGCAAAGTTGTGAGTTAAGCTTTTGGACTATGAAATCAGGTATAATGCAGAGGCATTGTCTTGATCTTAGGAAAACACTGTTGGTGAGACATACTTATGGCAGCCAACATGCCAAAGTATCATAAACACCAGCATGTGAAACCCTCAAAGTATGGACACCAAGAAAGACTTTGGTAACAATCCACCAGCTACATAGAAAGTGAGCCAGGCAGCGTAAGGATATATGACCCAAGGTGATTTTTTTCTTTTTTTTTGAGACAGAGTCTTGCTGTGTCACCCAGGCTGCAGTACAGTGGTGTGATCTTGGCTCACTGCAACCTCCACTTCCCGGGTTCAAGTGGTTCTCCTGCCTCAGCCTCCTGGGTAGCTGGGACTACAGGTGTGTGCCACCACACCCAGCTAATTTTTGTATTTTTAGTAGAGACGGGGTTTCACCATGTTGGTCAGGCTGGTCTTGAACTCCTGACCTTGTGATCTGCCCACCTTGCCCTCCAAAGTGCTGGGATTACAGGTGTGAGCCACCACACCTGGCCAATCCTGTTTTTAAGCAATTATTTTATCTCAGTTGTTCATTATCTTACTCTTTTTAGTATCCTCTGGATTATGCCTGCTTTATACACAGGTGTTTGATACATTTGGCTTCATCTGAATCAAGTGCAGAAAATGACACTACCAAGTAACTCCCTGAAGCAGAACCTCCTTAAAACTCTTATCAATCGGGCTGAGGCATGTGTTCATATTGCAGAGAACCATTTGTCTGTGTATTTTCACAGGTGACATTGTGATTATACACGAGAAAAAAGAAGAAGGATGGTGGTTTGGATCTTTGAATGGGAAAAAAGGCCATTTTCCTGCTGCTTATGTGGAGGAGTTACCTTCAAATGCTGTCAACACAGCTACAAAGGCATAAAACAAGACTCTGAACATACTACCTTCACACTCTGTAACCAACAATACAATGTGGTTCAAATAAGAATAAAGTGCTATTATCTTTACAGGTTTTTCTTTTGAAATGGATGGAGTTTTACCTGCATGTCACAGCACTTTGCATTCATGATTATTAGCTTGAAACAGTCAGCTAAAAGATGGATGGGTGGAGACAGACAAGGAAGAGGCTCCTTGGTTCCTAGAGTTTCCGAATTCTAGGAGACCCTAGAGATGATCCAGTATAACCCCTGGTGTCACAGAAAGAGACTGAGTCCAAGGTGGGTTCAGCTGCTTGCCTGAAGTCACAGAGTTATCTGGTAGACAACAGCAGTGAGGACTTAGATGTCTTTTTCCTCTGGATTTGGGTGGCAACAGAGCACAGCAGGCCTACGAGGGGGTCAAGCAGAGCCTGGGAAATGAGGAATACAGATCAATTCCAAGCAGAGAGACAGGCAATCAAAACACCAATGAGATCAACCCAAATTAGGGGATGGTAGGATAAAAGATCCAAAGAAAGGGTGGTAGACAAAGGTCCAGCTCCCAGGCTGAGGGCCTCCGGGCAGAATGCAGTTTCATCCTAAGCCAATGATCTTCTGAGGCAGTTGCTTCATATATACCCCCTGCCCACCACCAGAGCTGCTCTTAGAGTGAGGTCAGGTGTGAGCCAGAGATGGCTAGAGATATGAGAACAAGAGCAAATTGGACAGGAAAGGGCTAGGAGGGAGATAGTGCCCCAAATTTCATGCCTTCTTGCCCATCTGGAAACCTCATTTACCAATTCAGAAATAAGGAATTCTGTACTTCCCAACTAAGTCATTATGGACGGAATATCCTAAGCAGCTTCCTAATGGAAGGACTTGAAATGATAGTGGATTTCTAGTTTGAATGGAAAGTTCAGGAAACCAATCTTCACTATCAAAATGGAATATTGAGGGTGAAGAAAATTTATGGTACTTCCTCAAATGACCCATCATGGGCAAAGGTTGGGAATGAGAGAGGCTAGGCCCCGAAACTACTTCCAAGGGAAACAGTTGAGAGTGAAGAGAAATGTTACAGCAGCTTCTTTCAGAAAATGACCTAAGTTGGCCTGGAGATCTCACACTCCATTGATTGGAAGGTCATGGTCTTCATGAAACTGCTGGGTATGTTTTTACTCTTGTGCCAAATAGGCTGTCCTTTAGAACTTCAATACAGGCATTAAAGGAGTAATTAAAATCCATCCCAAGATGGCCGAATAGGAACAGCTCCAGTCTCCAACTCCCTGCGCCAGCGACACAGAAGACTGGTGATTTCTGCATTTTCAACTGAGGTACTGGGTTCATCTCACTGGGGAGTGCCGGACGATTGGTGCTGGTCAGCCACTGCAGCCCGACCAGCGAGAGCTGAAGCAGGGCGAGGCATTGCCTCACCTGGGAAGTGCAAGGGGGAAGGGAATCCCTTTTCCTAGCCAGGGGAACTGAGACACACAACACCTGGAAAATCGGGTAACTCCCACCCCAATACTGCGACACACACCAGATTAAGAAAAGGCGATCATTAAATCAGGAAACAAACAGGTGCTGGAGAGGATGTGGAGAAAATGGACACTTTTACACTGTTGGTGGGATTTGTACCCTAGTTCAACACACTTATCGGAAAACACAGTAGAGCGATTCCCTCAAGGATCAGACAGCTAGATGTACCATATGACCAGCCATCCATTACGCTGGATATACCAAAAAGGATTATAAATTATGCTGCCATAAAGACACATGCACACGTATGTTTATTGCAGCACTATTCACAATAGCAAAGACTTGGAATCAACCCAAAATGTCCATCAGGACAGATTGGAATTAAGAAAATGTGGCACATATACACCATGGAATACTATGCAGCCATAAAAAAGGGATGATTTGTGTCCTTTGTAGGGACATGGATCAGCTGGAAACCATCATTCCTTAGCAAACTATCACAAAACAGAAAACCAAACACCACATGTTCTCACTCATAGGTGGGAACTGATCAATGAGATAACTTGGACTCAGGAAGGGGAAAATCACACACCGGGCCTATCATGGGGAGGGGGGACGTCGGGGAGGGATTGCATTGGGAGTTATACCTGATGTAAATGACGATTGATGGTGCAGCACAGCAACATGGCACAAGTA